GCCAACAGAGTAAGTATCTTTGTTATTCCAGCTACCTAGAGTGATGTTAAAGCCAACAGAGTAAGTATCTTTGTTATTCCAGCTACCTAGAGTGATGTTAAAGCAAACAGATTAAGTATCTTTGTTATTCCAGCTACCTAGAGTGATGTTAAAGCCAACAGAGTAAGTATCTTTGTTATTCCAGCTACCTAGAGTGATGTTAAAGCCAACAGAGTGAGTATCTTTGTTATTCCAGCTACCTAGAGTGATGTTAAAGCCAACAGAGTAAGTATCTTTGTTATTCCAGCTACCTAGAGTGATGTTAAAGCCAACAGAGTAAGTATCTTTGTTATTCCAGCTACCTAGAGTGATGTTAAAGCCAACAGAGTAAGTATCTTTGTTATTCCAGCTACCTAGAGTGATGTTAAAGCCAACAAAGTGAGTATCTTTGTTATTTCAGCTACCTAGAGTGGCACCAAAGCCAAAAGAGTAAGTATCTTTGTTATTCCGGCTGCCGAGAGCTCAATGAAATTTTACCATAATGTTGCTTGTTATTTAGCTAGATATTTTTTTAGTTCTGCTGCAGACTCTGTAGACACAGAAGAAGAAGGAACAGTAGTTAAAAGACACAAGAGTAAAAAAATAAAGTGTGCAGCTCTCAATAAAAGTGGAAAGTTCAGAATACCTTCAAGTGATATGAGTACTGATGGTAAGACTGGATTTTGTTATTTACAATTACTCTGATTTTATTACATTACACCATACTTACCTTATATCAATCAATATATAGTATAAATTGCATTCTTGGGCATGGTTTATCTTTGAGCCCAATTTGTGATATATTTTGTAGATAAGGTTTCAGCTAATTTACTATGTTTTACTGTTTAGGTGAATCTGATAACGGTATTGTAATGAAGCCTGTTAAAGCAAAGTATGAGTTAGCAATGCATTCTGTGAAAGTCCGTCGAAGTGGAACTCTTTCTGATGTCAGTGCTCTTTGGGATCTTCAGCAAGGTATTTATGTATGCTTTACTCATTTTATTCTTTATAAGGGATAGCTACAAACAATTATCAAAACAATTGAGCAGATTTTGTCAGAAATTAAACAAATCACATAGAGAACCACCTATACCATAGAGATACACGACAGTGTTTCATTTGAATTTCCTGTTTTCAAGTTTAAAAAGGTAAAGTTTTTGCATGTTTGACATATTTAAGACTTTTCCATTTTTAAAACTCTACTTCCTAGCATCTTAAAATAAAATAAGATGTATTTCATAGATTTTGCGTGCAATAAATGCAGTTTTACTTTTATTGGAGATGTGCTTCTAATATAATAGTAAACTGTATTCATTATTTGTACTTTGTGTCTCCTTTTTCTTTCTTTAATCTCAATTTAATTCAAATTAATCCGTAGAGGCTTTCAGTAGGCTGTGTGTGTTAAATGAGTTTTCAAATTGTACTGAAAAGCAGCAGTCACATTGCTTAATTTCTAGAGGAAGTTTATGACATGACAATTCATTTCGCATCAGAGCCATGTATGTATTTAATAATGAATTTGTTGGCTATTTGCAGGTACTGCAGTGATGTCAGCATCAAGTATGTCATGCCATTATAAACAAATGGAAGGCGACAAAAATCGATTTCAGAGAACTACATCTGTAGACTCATTCAATTTGGTGAGTGTAAACATTCTTGATTTAACCATTAATCTTTTTTTAGCTCAGCAGTCCAAAGGACCACTGAGCTATACATGTAGGGGTCCATGGACGAATTCTTCTCTAAAACCACTGAAACTTTAGTTTTGATTTTTGGTATGAAGATTCCTTATTGGTTGAAGATGGTAATTTGTTCAAGAGAAGTGGATCCATCAACAAATCTGGAAATCGGGTCAAATATGCTAAAAATTTATATTTTCATCAATTTCTCAAAAAAATTCAGTTTGATTGACTTGCTATTTAGCATGTAGGTGTGTGGCCTGTTGATGTGGTAGCATTATCTTCAAATTTGTATTTTAAGTGAATTTTTTCATTATTATTTTTTTAATATTTTTAGTGAAAAGTGTTATTTTCAACTTCTTTTCCAAAACTGCCAAAGAAATTGCTTTCCTATTTAGTATTAGGGATCTGGGGTGGACATCTCTTAAGGATGTTCATTTCGTAATGATATCTTCTATTTTGTGCAATTAATGATTTTTTTTTATTCTTCATACAATACAGGTAATACTGAATTCTGCCGAAAATTCGCCCATCTCAGCAATATCACGGCTGGTGGGTGCTTATTTGGGGTTCACAATTTCAAAAAAAATCATCAAATATTTTTTGGGGACTTCTATTTTCATTGAAAAATCCGCCGACTTTTAACGCCGGCAGTTGTTCAACCCAAGACGAAAGAAACTATTGCGGAAGCTAATCTAAAATTTTGATACATTTTTTTCTTGCTGACCGCCTAAAATTTTGTTGCAATGTCACCAGTGTCATTTTTTTCCAAAAAAATCACATTAACGAACCTGGTACGTCAAATACAATGTTTTTTATTTTATTGGTAACGAAAGTATATTCTAAATGAAGTTTCAAATAAAAATGAACACAACTGAATTGCGTAGCAGCAAATAAATGATCATGGTTGCGCAATCCGGTCATGCTGCATTTTTCTCAAATTCAACTTTCAGTTTCATCGTAAGCAAATGATTTGTCATTTTATTGGTTGACTGGTGGCCATTTTGTTTAAATAAATGTACTTCTAGAGCCTCATGGCATATCTCTGATATGCTTTGACTGATTATGTTCAAATTTTATATATTCATTATACATCATGTTATAGATATATAGATGTATTCAAAATGGCTGACTGGTGGCCATTTTGTTTTAATTAATGCTGTTCCAAAGCAATATTTCTCAATATGGACAAGTACTCGTTTGACAATCAGATACAAGATGTCAATCATTTTACTGTTAAAAATCATCATAATCAAGCATCATCTTCTGGATCCTTACTTCTGACATGTTTATGTTCCAACTATATCACTACATGTACATAACTAACAGGGACTGTGGCATGCTATTTGTTTTTATTTTGTTGAATTTTTGGCAGAAATGCTATTTTCAAGAATTGTTTTCAAACTGCTAGATTGTTAGTTTTTATTTCAAGTGTGAAGATTCCTTATTTGTTGAAGATGGTAATTTGTTCAAGAGGTGTAGATTGACTATTAAATCTTCAAATTTGGTCAGAAATGCCAAAACATAAACATTTTTGGAATTTCATGTCAGATTGACTTTATATTTAGCATGCAGGTACATGGACTAATACTGTGTTTTTGGTGATTTATTTTTTAAACTTTATGTATAGCATGTCGGTATCTCGAATGGTTCTCTGTGTGACAGAAACACAAAACGAATGTACATGAACAAGGAGTAGACAATTCATACAGTGGTCACTCACATATGACATTGCTTATGTGTATATTGCATGCTTAAAGCAATACCAGCTACAAAATTTAACACATACAGATTCATCTTCGTCTTGACACACTTGAGCACTTTCTGAAATATGGCAAGTCAAAAATAAAGATATGTCCAATCTATATAATTACTCTTTAGAAACAAAAGGCAGAACAAATCATAGGGGTGGTGGAGTAGGGGCCTATATCCACACCTCTTTAAATTATATTTTGATTGATGTCGAGGTATAACACGCTGAAACATTATGGATAAATGTTAATGTTGGTTGGAATAAGTCGCTGGTAATTGTCATAATCTACAGAAAACCAAACACAAATGTTGTTGAGTTTTTAGACAGTTTAGCGCATTCAGTGTTGCATAATTTACCAATTAATTCCAAATGTGTCTTAGTTGGTGACTTGAATATTAATTTAAACAATTTAGACCCTAGTCTTGTTAGAAATCTTTGCCACACATTGTCATGCTACAACTTTAAACAAATTCTTAATGTACCCACACACACTAACTAGCTCTCTTAGTGTAATTGACCATTTATTCACAAATATTCATTCAATTTTGTCAGTACCGGGACAATAGAGGTTGAAATACTTTTAGTATCTGATCACCTACCAATCTCTGGAATTTTCCAAGACTTAGAAACGTATTTTCCGGAAACTGGTAAAATGTCATTTCGTGACTACTCCAAGCTTGATATAATCAAATTTAAAAATGAACTTGAAAGTCAGAACTGGTCCGATGTATAGTAGTAACGATGTTGATAATGTACATGACGCATTCTCTGGCACTTTTTTGAATATTTGTAACAAACATGCCCCTCTTATTACCAAACAAATTGGTTCCCAAAATTCCTGGTTAACTATAGAGTTAAAAAGAGCAATAACAAAAAAACGTAAATTGTTTTAAAAAATGGTTAGATGTAATTATAATGCGGACAGTGTGGCTAAATATAAATGCTATAGAAATTATGTGACAAATGTTCTAAGAGATGCAAAGCGTAATTTCTATTCAGAACAGTTTGTTGAATATAATGGAAAAAACGGATAAAACTTGGAAAATAATAAATGAAATATTAGGAAAAGGAAACACCAGGGTTGGGGTGAACCCTGCAAACAAAATTTCACCACTTACATTCAACACTTACAATACACATGTGACAAATTCACTTTTCTTGCGTGGTACCACTGCTCATTAAATATCAGATATATTGAGAGGGTTAGATAAAAAGAAGGCAGTTGGTTATGACCAAATAAGTGCTAAGCTACTCATACATGCAGCGGAGTATATTTCTAAGCCCTTCTCTCACATTAGAAATCTTTCATTCTCTTCAGGTTCATTTTGAAATACTCTTAAAATAGCAAAGGTTACCCCACAGTCCTTCTATCCTGAGGGACTGTGGTTAACCCTATCTTCAAAAAGGGAACTTCTTTTGACCCTGCTAATTATAGACCTGTCTCAGTACTGCCTCAATTAAGTAAATTATTCGAGAAAATAATCAACAAACAATTAACTGTTTATTTATAAATAAACAATAATTTATTTCAAGCAGTACGGCTTTAGAGAAACATTTAGTACAAAACTCTCTGTTATAGACCTAGCACAAAAGGTATTTGATGAAATTTATGAAGGGAATGGGCCATTCCAGTTTATATCTGCACCCCCCCCCCCCTGTTGATGTGGTCGGATTTCCAGCACTGTATGATGGGGAAAATACCCCGGAATTCCAACTGTATATGGAGAAACAGAATCTGAAAATCTAGACGAGGATGGAAAAAAAATTCCTGGAAATCCAGGCAGTTATGGCTACTAAATAAAATATGGCTTAGTTTATCTCGCCACATACCGGTTGATGAGGTTGGATTTCCAACAGTATGACTAAAAAAAACTTGGAATTCTGACTGTATATGGTACCAAAATTGGGCCAGTATGAAATAGTTATTACTGAAATTAAGATAAGGATGGTGGCAGAATGAGCTTATCAACACCGTGAATCAGGACTAGTTTGGATTTCCATTATCAAATATAAAATTTTGAACTTGGTAAATCAGCATATGATGAGAGTTATATTTGGAAATCCTACTCTGTATGGTGGCACAATGGAACTCTTCAACACCATAAGTAGGAACTATAGTTTTGGATTTCCTTTTCTGTATGGTGAATTGTGATTTGGAAATAAAACTTTGTATGACTTATACACCCATGGAAATTATACCCTGTATGAAGTAAACACACAAGCTCATCAACAGGGGGGTGCAGATATAAACTGGAATGGCCCAATGTAGTTCTTGGAATTTTGTTTAGATCTTAGAAAGGTGTTCAACACTGTTAATCACTCAATTTTACTTAGAAAATTACATGTATCTGGATACAGGATTCGAGGCCTACCTTTGTACTTGATAGAGAGCTGTTTACAAAATAGGGGACAACATGTACATTGTAAGTGTGAATGGTGTAACATCAGACTCGCTTCCAATAATATGCGGTGTTTAGCAAGGGTCTATACTTGGTCCTACTTTATTTCTTCTTTGTGTTAATGATATAGAATTAGCATATACATACTTTGATATCTGTCTGTTTGTAGACGACACCAGTTTATTTCATACATTTCAATCTGGGAACAGTATCAACCTACACTATGTTAATGAAAAGGTAAATCAAATAGTTGACTGGTGTGACTGTAATAAACTGACAATAAATACTAACAAAACTGAATATATACTATTCAGAGGTAAAAATACAAAAGTAGCGACTTTTGGGAGTTTGACAATTGGAAACCAAAGCATTAGTGCGGTAGAGTGTACTAAATATGTTGGTGTGCTGCTGGACCACAATTTAAATTGGAAAAACATTATTGATTATGTGATGAGCAAAACAAGTGTCAAAGCAGGTATCATATATACATTGTAAATTAAGAAAAACTGTTCCAAGGTCAACAGGTATTTTGCCGCATATTTCATATATGTTGGAAACCTGGGGAAAATACCTATAAAACTCATTTACATCCAATACTTATTATTCAAAAACAAATTGTACGTTCTATTTCAAGCAACGCCAGTTCCAATTAGCTCTTTTAGTTTCTGATAGTATTCATGGACATTTTCCTAATTCTATATCCCAACTCTTTCAGCATGTACCCAAAACTTATCATACTAGGTTTCAAACCAAAGGAAATTTAATAATAATTCCTAAGTACCGTATTAATGTAGGTCAACGTTCTATTAAAAATACTGGCCCCAAGCTATGGAACTAGCTACCACAGAATATAAAAGACATTACCACAAGGAAATTATTTAAGTTAAAAATGAAAGAAAAAATAATTGAATAATCATTATTTATTATCATTATTTATTATATTATTATTATTTGCTTCATTTATATATACAGTTTCAGGTTATTATAAATCACCCTCCAAGACAGTATAATTCATTTGTTTCTGAGGAATCAGACTAGATTAGCCAACGGCTATTTCTGGTTCTTATTTTACCTATTTGTATTTGATTCTTATAATTTGTTTTGTAAATTACAAGGGTATATTATTAGGTAAAATAAATCAATATTTGATTGATTGATTGACAAAGCAGCTGAGTGAAAAGGGCTGACTGGTTTGTGTTGTGATCAAAAGTTGAAAGCAAATAAATATAAGAACACACTAGAAGAGGATTATTCAACAATACACTAAAGTCAAGATCAGCCAATTGAGACTACTTGAAGATAATTATGAAATTGAGAAGTAATTGATCATCAATGAGTCTATCATCACTTCTAAATTTCGGTGTAATCTTTTTTACCAAAACTATCATTATAAATTATTAATAATAATATATTTTTGGTAATATATCCCATTTTTATTAACTAATTGGTGTGACTATACAGCAATTCAAAATAGTTAGAATGCATTGTAATATGCAAATTAATAAAAGGCCTGTGAACATTTTCTGGGAGCTAGAACATTGATTACCAGGAATGAACCGTATATTCCCTCTTTCCTCATAATTTTTTTTTTTTTAAATTGGATTCATACATTTAACCACCCAACCCACCCACCCACCCACCCACCCACCCACCACCACCACTAATTTACAGGTGGCATGGTGTTGATATACAATTTTCAATAAACTCATGCTATTACACATATTGTATATTATGTATTAGTACAACCTAAGAAATTGACCAGACTATATTTTTTGCTATTCAGCGGTCACATCCAAATGAAATGCTAACTGGTCTTAGGTATTTTGAAAGAGCAATCAAAGGAGAAAACAATGAACATGCCAAAACTGCATTCAGCTGGGGAGCTGTCGAGAAAGGAGCCTTAGCTAGATGTCTATTACAATATGTCGTGAGGCCAAGGATGTGCTGGCATCTGAATCGAGGCTTCTTAGGCTGAGTGCTCCTACATACATACTTGGTGAGTTTCACAATACCAGTCTAATAGTCATTTTTATTTCTATCCTCCTGTTGGTGGTAGATTTGTCAAGCAATTGTTTCATTGATTGATTTTTTTTCGATTTTCCAATTTACTGGTATTCATAATTTTGTTAATAAGATATGTAAATGCAATATGATGTAGTTGATATGTAAATGTGATATGACGTAGTTGATATGTAAATGTGATATGAGTAGTTGATATGTA